CACACACACACACACACACACACACACATACACACATACACACATACACACACACACACACACACACACACACACACACACACACACACACACACACACACACACACACGCGCATACACGCACACACACACACACACACACACACACACACACACACACACACACACACACACACACACACACACACACACACACACACACACACACACACGCACACACACGAGCGCGCGCACACATACATGTGTGGACGCTGTGCAGTGTCGCAGGAGTGCCCTCTGGAGGAAGCACTGGATTCAATGCCTGGACGAAGAACGTAAGGAGCAAGCTGTTGCCCATGCAGCAGGCTCCCTCTCTCCGCGCAGCTGTTGGATCCAAAGGAACGGCAAAGACTAATACGGTTTGGCAGCAGCGGCGTCACAGGAGTTGCCAGAACGAGGGCGCAGGCGTGAAGTTCCTTCGGATTTTTCCTCAGGGTTGACTCCCGAAAGCTTTTTCCTCTTGAGGATGACACAAGGCGGTGGATTGTTTTGTATATTGCGAACTCCCGTAGCCATTGACCAAATATGAACTGAACTACAATACGGCAGTTGGGCACCACTAGCAAATATATCTCGTATTTGACCCATTTCCATATAACACGTTTTGGACATGTTCTAACGCAATCCGTCCCTGTTACAGTTTGTCCACGAGGATTTTATGGGAAGGACTGTAATCAGCGTTGTACCTGTGCCAGGAATCAGCCGTGCCATCACATTACGGGTGCCTGCAAGTGCCCGCCTGGACGTATGGGGGCACAATGCCATGACTGTGAGTGCCATTTTGTCATGATGAGTCCGCTGTCTTTGTTAACAATTTGGTTGTCAGTATTAGTTGTGTAATCTGCATTATCAATAATAATGATGGTAATGATAATGCCAATAATAATAAAGACAATTATTATTGATATGATCATCATCATTATAAATATTTCTATTACTATTAATATTATCAAGATGATTTTCATTATCATTATCATTGTCATTATCATTATTGTCATTATTAATGTTATGATCGCTATCATTTCTATTATCATAGTGCCATGACTTACATTCGTTTATCACCAGTGCCATTAGTAATATCGTTTTCTTTCCGTTTTCTTTGACATTTTAATCACTACACTTATCTTAACGACCTCCCCCCTTCAGTCTGCCCCGAAGGAAGATGGGGGGAGCAGTGCCAAGAGGAGTGCCAATGCAAGGGCTCTTCCCTCTGCGACCCCGTCACCGGCGCCTGCGTGTGTCCCCCAGGTACTCAAGGCCAGAAGTGTGACATAGGCTGTTCTTCAGGTTTTTATGGCATCGGTTGCAAGGACGTGAGTGGCCTCTGTTTTTCTTAGTTCGTTTGTGGTTTCTTTTCAATTCGATTTCTGACTTCTGGTGACCTGAGACATCAGTGACCCCTAACTAATGCACGGCCACTTTTTCACTCATGACCCCTTGCTAAAAAGAAAAGAAAAGATAGAAGAAAGAGGTCCTCATGACATGACCAGAGGCTGTAGCTCTTCCTCCCTCACTTCCACCCTCCCCTTTGACACTTCTTGACCCTCACGTGACCCCTCATGACCCCTCGGTCCTCACCCTTGGTACAGATATGCGAGTGTGAGAACGGAGGTCGATGTAACTCGACGACTGGGGCTTGTGAGTGCCCCGAGGGTTTCTACGGCCCCACGTGCTCCCTTCCCTGTCCTGACGGTACATACAGCACCCACTGTAACCAGGTACAGTTATACAGCCACTCGATACATATCTTACACTGACAGCACTCGGGTACAGCCACGCGGTTGACATTATGCACACTCTCTCCAAGCAGGTACAGTCGCATGGACACACAGCAGCCACTGTTACAGTAGCCCTCGCCTGACATATGTGACAGATATTTAGGTCTACTCTAGCTAAGAAGAATTGGTCAGGTAAAAATAAGGAGAAAAACACTATTAGACACTATTATTAACAAATATATATATATATACACACACACGCTCACACACACACGCACACACATGCACACACACACACACACAAACACACACACAGACATACACACACACACACACACACACACACACACACACACACACACACACACACACACACACACACACACACACACACACACACACACACACACACACACGCACACACGCACACGCACACACACATACATATCACACACACACACACACACACACACACACACACACGCACACGCACACGCACACGCACACGCACACGCACACGCACACGCACACGCACACACACATACATATCACGCACACACACACACACACACACACACACACACACACACACACACACACACACACACACACACACACACACACACACACACACACACACACACGCTCACACACACACGCACACACACACACACACGCACACACACGCACACACACGCACACACACACACACATACAAACACACATACACACACACACACACACACACACACACACACACACACACACACACACACACACACACACACACACACACACACACACACACACACACACGCACACACACACGCACACGCACACATACATATATATACGCTTGTAAATAAACAGGCATGCCCCTTGCCCTGCCTCGCAAGCCGCAGCGACGGCCTCCCTCGGGCGCCCAGGTACGTGCACTTCCGCCGAACTAACCCACAGCAACATGTGCAACAGCTCAACTTCGACCCACACCTTCAGGTCCTTCTACCCACAGTCCCCCTCGAACCCCCCCCCTGCCCTCCCCCCCTCTTCCAGTCAGGGTGAGTGATGAGAGTCATGTTCCAGACGTGTGATTGCGAACACGGCGGCGTCTGTACCAGGAGCGGTCAGTGCAGATGCCCGGCGGGGTACGTTGGAACCAAGTGCGAGAACCGGTGCCCGGCCGACAAATGGGGCTTGCAGTGTGCCAACGAGTGCCAGTGTCAAAACGATGCCATTTGCCATCCAGGTGAGAGCTATTGATGGTCGCGTGGGGAAGCCTTACGCTGGGTGTTGTTAGTATTAGTATCTTTATTATTACCATTATTATTATCTAATTACCATCGCGATTATTATCTACCATTACCCTTGCCATGAAAACTGTGACTACCACCAACTACTGCATCTCTTCTTATAAAGAAAATGTATTTTACTATTGTTATTATTAAAAGTAATAGTATTATCACTGCCATCACCATCGTCATCCCCATCACATCCATCCTCTTCACCCCCACCCCCACCACCTACTACCACCACCCCCACCACCTACCACCTACCACCACCTACCACCACCACCTACCACCTACCGCCACCTACTACCACCACCTACCACCTACCACCACCTACTACCACCACCTACCACCTACCGCCACCTACTACCACCACCTACCACCTACCACCACCTACCACCACCCTCACCACCACTACCCTCACCAATCGCCCCCTCCTCCACAGCGACGGGCGAATGTCAGTGCGGGCTGGGCTGGACCGGACACAACTGCACCCTCCCGTGTCCCGCTGGTCACTACGGCCCCGACTGCCAGCTGGACTGCGCCTGCCACCACAACGCCACCTGCGATCGGTTCAGCGGCTGTTGCATCTGCGGGCCGGGGAGATACGGCCGGTACTGCGAACTCGGTGAGATGTGGAAAGCTGTTCTAATTTATATATTATTTTCTCTTTTTTATTTTTTTAGTTTTGGTGTATTTCATTTTGTTTATTTATTTATTTATTGGTCATTTATTGTTATTATTATTTATTATTATTATTATTATTTTTTTTTTTTTTTTGGGGGGGGGGGTTATTTCGTTTAATTTTGCTCTTTATTGATTTTCTCTTATTTTTTATGTCTAAATATTCATGTTCCTCTCTCTCTCTCTCTCTCTCTCTCTCTCTCTCTCTCTCTCTCTCTCTCTCTCTCTCTCTCTCTCTCTCTCTCTCTCTCTCTCTCTCTCTCTCTCAGCTCCATCCATCATTTATATAACTATATATCCATCTATATGTTCATCTATCTCTTAATATGTACCTGTACACCACAAATATCACCACCTCTTTTAAAAGAACCAGTTCCCCCCCCTCTCACTTTTGCAACCGTGCAATGTTTCCGTCGCAGAGTGCCCTCCTGGATTCCACGGCGACTATTGCACGAAAGTCTGTGAGTGTGACAACGACGCGACGTGCAATCCGTACACCGGCCAGTGCATCTGTCCTCCAGGCTTGACGGGTGACACCTGCGCCGACAGATGCCCAGAAGGTTAGTTTCGGTGGGTGGGTGGGTGAGGTAAGGGTGGTTGGGTGGATGGTGAGTTGAGGGTGCTTGGATGGGTGGGTGGATGGGTTGAGGGTGGGTGGAGCTAGTTAACTCACCCACCCACCCACCCACCCACCCACCCACCCTTAATTCACCCAACCACCCACCCAACTTTAACCAGCCCACCCTTAATCCACCCACCCTTAACACACCCACCTATCCACCCACCCACCCTCCCTTAAGGGTGGGTGGGTGGGTAGGAGGGAGTGTGGGTGGGTGGGTTAAGGATAGTTAGGTGGGACAGACTCATGAAAGCAAACAGATAAAAAGACAGATAGATAGACAGATAAACCGATAGATACTTCACCTACCTTTTTTTTCCTAACCTACTTTCTTCTTTATCCTCCACCCTAGGGACGTTCGGCCTCGAGTGCCAAAGTGAGTGCCAGTGCGGCCCCTACCCCTGCCGGAAGGACACGGGGGAGTGCCTGTGCCCTGCTGGCTTCAAGGGACCTGGATGTGAGATGCGTGAGTTGGTTGTGCCTCGTCTGCGTTTACCTGGAGGTGGATAAGTAGGGCGTGCCGCGCGCGCGTGCCTGTGTGTGTGTGTGTCTGTCTGAGAGAGAGAGAGAGAGAGAGAGAGAGAGAGAGAGAGAGAGAGAGAGAGAGAGAGGAGAGAGAGAGAGAGGAGAGGAGAGGAGAGAGAGAGGGAGAGGG